GAAGATCGAAGAATGACTTTCTTTGATTTCATATTTCTATCTGAAGATTTCTGTCACAATATGACATCGTGCAAAAGCTTCAGATTAACTTTAATACATTTAATTATCGTTTCTCTCATTGTCAAATGTTGATAAGTGTCATCTGTATGATTGACAATAAAATAAAGTGTTAAATCCGCATTAGGTTGACATAAGCTATCTACATTTTCTTGACTAACAACAGAAATTACTTCTGAATAATCAGAAAACTAACAGACACAAAAAAGATTCGATGCATCTAAAACAACAAGAAACACAATGGCTGATTCGCTCATGGAACTTGTTACTCAAATTGTACGAGGCATCTACTCACCAATTATTGTTGCAGGTGTGTTGGGCAACTTGCTCAATATTGTCATATTCACACGTGCCGCCTTAAATCGTCACGCGTGTTCTCTTTATTCTATTGCTTTGTCTATCAATAATCTCTTCTATTCAAGTACAATTCTCATCTATATTCTATTGGCCGATGGATATCAGCTGGATCCGGCCAAATATTCACAGATCTTTTGTAAAATTATCTACTATATCATCAGTCTGTGTCCACACTTGTCCGCCAATTTCCTCGTGCTTGCTTCGATCGATCGATATTGCGGCAGTTCATCCAACGATAGACAGCGCAAGTTTAGCACAATGCGTGTAGCTCGATGGATGCTTGTACTTACCGTCACCGCATTCGCTTTCTTATTCATAGGTATGCTGATAGTGTTCGATTTGCAGCAAGATTATGCCCTTCAGTGTTCCGCTCGACCGAATAATCTATCTGGTCAAGTTTATCTCATTATATTAGTGGTTCTGTTTGCAATAATTGAACCCGGTTTGATGGCTCTTTTTGGTCTCTTAACCATCTATAATGCAAATCAGATGCGTGCAATTCCTGTAAGAGTTTCGCGTTATCGTCGCACTGAAAAACAACTTGTTCGTATGCTTCTTCTTCAAGTGGCCACTCATATTGCCCTCATTCTGCCTTTTTGTGTGATCTTTATCATATCGATTCTACCAATCTCGTTTCGATCTACTATCATGTTCTATTTCCTCTACCAGATCTTCAGAGTTCCTGTCAATCTTTCGTATGCCACGCCTTTTTTCTTGTATACTCTTGCGGGTCGAGTATATAGAGATGAACTTGTTCGACTAGTGAATACAATCTTTCAACTTTGTTGTGGTGCCAGATTTCAGGTGATGGCTAACCGAAACACGGTTACAGCGATGAACACATTACCATCGCATTATTAAAAAGACTTCTGCACACAATTGGTTCATGTAGAATGACATTGAGTTCATTTCTACTTTATTTCATCAAATACAAATTGTTACGGGCATTGTCCTCACAGCATGTTTTTCTTTCTTCTTTCTTTTTCCCTGGATGTGATATCTTCGAGCATATATCATCATTTCTTTCTTTTCGTTAAAGCCCTCGATGAGTATGATCATATATAAAAAGTTAAAATTCTAAAAAAATTAATTGATTACAATCATTAATCATCTCTATTTTTTTCTTCAAGTGTATCTTTTTTTTTGAAAGTTTTATGTGACATTTCGAGACTAAATAAAACTGTTTTGAATAATATCAAAAGAAAGAATGTCTTCACAAATCTTCCACTGTCTTCCAATATTCATTCGAACAAATATCGTCATGAATCCAATTTTTCTTATCAGCAGGAAATAAAGTATCCATTATCATTTGTGCAATTTTCAAATAAGGTAATTTATCTTTATCTTGTGAACTACCAAATTTTTCAGCATAGACCAATGCTCTTATAGTCTTTGGTACATGTTCATCTGGATGTGTTAAACATTTGTCAATAAGAGGTAACCATGGATTTTGTGCATGTAAATACGAATGTTCTTGTGACACTTGATATTCATTACATAAATAATTTATATCTAATTTTGGTCGTCCACGTACAACATAGAAAAGAAGATCAACTGCAAATTTAGCTCTCATCAATTTTAATTGATTTTCCTTGTTTTTTAATGAATGAACCAATATATCTAAGAATAGACCACTCGTTGTTGCATGCATCAAGTAGAAATCGAGACGAGGTGCTTTCTTTGGCCGTATAATAGCTGTATTTACTAGAACACTAGCTCGTCTAGCATCTACTAAATCGCATTTCCACATTTGAGCATATTCTGCAATTAATGGACCAGCACCTCTTTCCAATAATTTATTCATCTTCAGTCCAATTTCACCATCTGTGGCAAGAATCTTCTCGTCAAAACGTTGATCTTTACCAATCAATTCAATAATTTCTAAGGCTGTTTTATTACCATCTTTGTTCTGATCATATTTCAAATGTTCTAAAACATCTTTAACACTAACTCGATCAATTGCTGCCATTGCTAAACCTTCAATAGCCATTAGTTTTGATTGAAATTCTAAGGCATATCCAAGATGAATAAATGCATGATAAGCACCACTTAATATTAGAACAAGATAATCTTTATTGAATAAATAATCTTCAATTAAATCTTCAATTTTTCCTTGATATCTTTCATTGTTCAATTCTTTTGTAAAGAATTCTAAATAATCATGATAGTAATTATCATCACCTAAACATTTATTTACACCGAAATCTTGTTTCTTATGAAGTGAAACTATAGGCTGTTGAATTTTCTTCTGATTTTCATAGATATGTTTCAATGTATGAGAAGAAGCACCAAGACCTAATGCAGCTAGAAGATGATGTGCGGTATGATTGTGAAAACCATATTGAATATTGAAATAGACATGATAATTCTCGTGATTCTGTTGAAGAAGATGAGAACAAGTTTCAATTGTCTCAGGAGTTATACCAGGTAATAGGTAGATGTCAGGATTTTTGATAAATTCATTAGATGACAGAGTATACATATTTGCTCTGGACAAAAAAATTGTTCTTTAAAAAGTTGATACAAGTATTTCAATAAGAAAAAAGTCACAATGCAGACTATATATATATGTATAAAAATGAACTCTACTATCGTCATGATGATAATGCATATTTTGTATCTTCTTCGTATTTCTTTTCATTATCTACTTGTTTTAACCGTTCGTACTTTTCTGCCATTCGCAAGTAAAGGTCACCAACTATGTATTTTTATCTTTTCTTCGTTCTATTCTCTTTCTCAACATATACACTTCTTTACCTTTCCATAACAAACAAGACGACTATTAGATCTAAGTGAAATTATACTTAAAAAAAAAACACAAAACAAAGAAATCTAATTTTTGCTTGAAAATCTCCTTAAACTTGACTAAACCTTGCATTCAAGTGAACGAACTAATGTTGAACTTTAATTTTATGATTGCAATCATTATGTTTTCTTTTTGTTTAAAATGAAGAACTAGTTGCATTCAAATCTTGAACTCATCTTGATTATATTCATTTTTTGAATATCACTCTAGTCGAACTTTTATCATAAGATGTTACAAAAATTGGCAACAAGAACAAGTGACACTTAGAAATGAATCAGCTATTGAAATGATTTTGGAAACTATTTTATCAACAAATCAAAGACATTCTACATGATGATTATACTATAGGGTGTGGGTATGCGAGTGAAATAATGATTTAAGCCCGCAGCCACATCTACACCCTGATCGGTTTGGCAAGCTTATACAAAGGTTTAAAACGATTATATACTTTTTCATATGTTCAGAAAAGTTCTTAGTTTTCCATCTTCTTCACCAGTTAACAATAACTCCACAGCTTAAATTTCTTGGTCGTTTAGTTGAACTTCCTGCACTTGAGATACTCATCAAATTGTAAATAAAATTTCACTTTCCGCTTCATTGAATGTACTCAGTGGCGAAGTATTTGCTTAGGGCAATTTATTAGATTTGAGTGTAGGATGAGGAAAGAATCACAATAAATCACACCTCACACCCACACTACAACAACACCCTCAGACCTTCATGTAATTCAATTGAAGAAAATTGCACCTACTTCTCCACTTCATATGGATATTTCACGTGATTTACTTCCCATTCAAAATGATTTTTCGAAGCCTGCTGATCCATCAAATAGTCTTGATGATTTGAACTTCAAATGAATAATTGTTCATTCTCAGTCTTGCGCATGAATTGACTTAAGTAATCAGCAGTTAATCGATCAAAATATGAAGATTATAGCCCAACAAGCAATTATTGGCAGACAATGCATTGAACTCGATCTAGGAACTAATAATATCACATCACCAGGTGTTTCAACTCTCGACCATGCATTGCGCAATAGCACAAGTATAAGGGTGTGGGTGTGTATGAATCAAACGAGCACCCACACCCCACACCCTACTCTTGCATGTCTGTACTCAATAGTCTTAATATTTATCCGAAATGCTTTTTTTTCTTTTAATTTTACTCGCCATATGGTTAAGAAAAAAAATACTCATTTTTTAGGAAAAAATCGATTGTCTTTTGATAAGAAAGAAGATCGATGTAAATATGGATATGTATTCAAAAATTTTGTATCGAATAGTGTACTCAATTTTTAAAAGTTATTTTCGTCGAATGTCGACCTTTGAAGGGAGGCTCTTCAGTTGAGTTACCATTTTTGAATGTGAAAAGTCAAGCTAAAAAATTGATTTACAAATTTCGACTTGAAACTTTGCATTGAGAAGAGTCTCAACGAAAATTGTTTATTGTCAAAGTTGCAGGTATGAACATCAGATCTGACAGTTTATATGATAGATCTAATTCACTTTTTCTGTTACCACGAAATACATTTAAAAAATAAGCCAATCAATATATCTGTTCGAGAGAGAAGCACAAGTCAAAGTAATCAAACATATAACAATGAGTCTGCTCTTTTTAAGAATAGTAGAGAGCCAGGCGGCTATTCACTAAAAAACAAACAGATTATTTACTGATCATCAATAGATAATTTTGAAAGAACAACATTAACACCAACTTTATGTCATTTTTCAAGTTTATCTTAAAGTATTGACTATTTACCATCAACAATTCATTGATACTCCTATGTATATATAAATACTTTCAATAAAGAAAAAATTCCATTCAAGAAAAAAAACAGCTTCATGGCAACATTATCAAGACGAATTTCAGCATTATCACGTTTAACTTTTAATTCAAGTTCAATATTAAGTAAAGCTATTTTAGGTTTAAAAAATTTTTTTAAATGCAACGCCGCAGCAACAAGTCATGAATTGTAAATAATTCTAAAAAATCAAATAATATTTTTCATTATTCAATGAAATCGTCTACCTCAAATGAACCATCTGTTACTTTTTTTCAAATCCAATCCTAACAGAGACAAAAAAAACTAAAACCTATCAATAAAGTAACACAAATTATCAATTCTAGAACATATTTTATATTATGTTTGACTTTAAAAACAAAATAATTCAATCGACTAAAATTCTCAAGTTGTTCATATGATAATCCTTTTGATCAAGATTTAAATAATTACAATCAGAAAAAAGTTGAATTTAAGTGCAAACTAATATGATATTCAGAGTCAGCATAAGAAACTAAATTGGTTTAAAGAAATTCTAAAAATTATTTTTTGTAAAAACAAATTACCCGTTTGCTACCCGATGAAGAATTAATTTAATCAAAGCATCATTGGAGTCAAATTCTTGAAAATTGCACGTAGACTAACTCAATGTTTTCTTATGAAAAGGATTATCAAATGAGCAATGTCGAAATGTCGATCCATGCTTAAACTGATCTGTGTCACTAGACGAAAAGTACCATATGAACTTTGTAGTTAATATATTCCAGTTAGGATCATAAATTTGTCAATTGATGGTTCGTTTTTATGGAGTCAAGCTGCTTTGGAGTATTTTACTTCTTTCGAGTTCTAAGAACAATATTTTTGAAAGGAAAAGACATAAATACTTAGAAAAAAAAAATGAAGTAGAAAGTTTTGCGTGGAAAAATGTTCTGACCTATGAAATTCCTCTATGTCCCTGAAGGAAGCATCGGAGAATTTAGAGTCTATGATAATTTGTGCTCGATATCAAAGAGCTATCGAAAAATTCACTATATTGTCTTGTCTGTCTATTCCCAAATTGAATCCATATTGTGATAGAATAAATGATTAGAATAATGATCTAAACTGTGTTACTTTGATGATAGTCTTTAGAGATTTTATTGTGATCTATGATTCAATAAGAGAGTTACCTGATTTAACTTCTTCGTTCATCGTCGTCGTCGTTCTTAATTATTTAAAATAAATATAATTACATATTCAATGTAACTACTTCATCTAACATACGAACAACATTAACAACCATTTTTTTTCTAAAATGAATATAAATTTTTTTAATTGATTTCGAAAAAAAACAAAAAACATTGAAATTTTTACTTAGGATCATTTCGTTCGATTTAATATTAACAACACTTTCTTTAATTTTATTTTTTATTGTTAATGCTGTAGCTTTTCGTAAAGCACGAATAATTATAAGTTGGATGCTGCATACCATTTCCAATAAATGTTTGTTTTTTTTTGTGTTTTTTAATATTCTTTGAGATGTTGGTCGGATGAACAATCTGAAATCATTTAAGTATTGTTGCACTATCATTTTATATCGTTGTTGTAGCTTTATAGACTTATCAATAAATATTTTTCATGCGTACATTTAATTAGTAATCTATATTCATTTGGTCGCATTTCATTCAAAAGATATGTTCTTGATAATAATATTAAAATAGGTTTTGCATAAAAAACATAGAAATGCAACAGAAGAAGATTCAACTGTGCCATTATTGATTGTACGTGAAAAATATATGTGATGTTTTATGGTGAAGTTAAATTATGTTTTATTTGAGGTAAAATACAATGAAAAATCAAACAACGAATCGTTTTATTAAACAATAAACTCAAATCTCGATAGTGTTTTCAATAGTTTATAGAGTTTTTCTAAATAAATCATTCTATATATCAAGATTTTATCGATAAACTGTGATGACAAGATGTCTAAAAGACCAAACACAATAAAGGCTTCCGGTATTTTCTACGATCTTCTTCTCTTAGAAAGTTAAAAGCAACACAAAAAAACTTATTAAGAAACACATACTATTCAGTTTTTATGATACTTTTAAATTTCTCAAGGAGGAAAGGTTGTAGAAAATGCAGCTACTTTTCATTTTGTTCTCTTTGAAATGATTTCCGATAAAAATTCTCTGAAACCTGAAAACTACCATGTTCAGTGTCTTTTTTGAAATATTAACATAGTCTCTCTGCTAGAGCCTTAACATATTCAGAATTCTTTTTTTTTTATTTCAATGGAATTTACTCGAGCCAAGGTCAATTTATGATCGGTGGAACTTTAACATCATAATATGTTTTTTTCTTTTTCTTTTTAGGCACATCTGATCGATTTGTAATAGAAATCATTCCATAAAAAGAACATTCTACAGTAATGAATACTCAAATACATATATATTTAATCAACAGATTTCATCAGAATGCTCAATATTTGCATGAACTTAATCATCAATATATTATTCTTGTTCATGATGTTTATGAGACATTAAATGCTGTTTATATTACACTTTGAATTAATATCTTTCGATTACATTTCTTTATTATCTAAACTACTAATCACTTAAATTCAAAGAATAATTAGAATAGAGAAAAAAAATTCTCTATGCTTTCAAGTTCGAGAGAACATGTATAGTGAAGATAGAGACATCCATATCGTTAGAATTAGATTCATTTCTTTAACAGTGATGAATTTACAAACCTCACAAAAATATTAAATCTATCAAAAAAAAGATCACTCTAAAAAAATGTGTTTTCATGGTTTTTTTCTGATGACCAAAACCTTTTCCATATAGTTCAACACTTGGTAGAAGAAATTATACTTTTGATTTTGTATAATTCATTCAATGTTTCCTTTTGTTATTTTCAATCAAATTATAAAATCTTTATGTATATAATCTGTTAATGATTTTGTTCTTATAATAAGTAATACTTAGGGCATACCAAAAGTAGTGAGAGTTCCAATTTTTTCTTTCAAAGTAGGCTTTAAGAAATTTTCTTTTTATGTAGTCTGATAGAGAAAAAAAAGCTCTATCTTTCTATGCTATTTGATAATACTTCAACTAATATTATGATATTAAATTATTTATAAAACCTATTTCCATACGATATGTGCTGGTTGTAACTGATGATAATTTATTTTTCAACATGTTTCATTCTGTTTTTT